AAAAAGGGTGACGTGACTAAAAAAAATGGGGTCATTCAAAGCAACCAATCAGGCGCCGGCTTCCACAAGGAAAAAATGACAGCTGTAGTCTGACTGGTTGCTACAAACAGACTCTCGGCCTTTATCCATCTCTCCTCCATGAGGCCTCCTGCATCGTCACCGCCATCAACGGCCTCATCAATAATAGCACAGCCGGCAAAATGGCAATCACCGTTTTCTGACAAGGACGCTGGAAGGACGTCTGAAAAACCTTTCTTCCATAAGCATGCAGTTTAGGATGGAATTGAGGCGCTGAAGCTCAAGAGAAGTACAGTCTTCCTCTCAGCGCAGAGGCCATATGGGAATGGGGAAGAATGTACATGTCACATCGGTCATGGTGTATGATGTGACCGCCTGCCCCTGTTGGGACTTGGCTGACACCGGGGGAATGGCTGTATGCTTTGTATTCATTATCGACTGACATCCAGCACTGAAGGCGACGCAGTACCGCCTCCTCTCTTCTTTGAAAAATCACTATTATCCTTTAGGCCTAAAACTTGCTGGTCTGTGCAAGAAAAGAAAACAAAAAAGCGCATCCTAATTAAAGAAGAACTCCGGCCTAAAAGAAAGAGACACATGGGACGTGCAATTGGTGATTGGTCAGATCTATTCAAAACAGAACACAAAGCGTCCTACAATATCATAACCCGTACATAGGGCCAGTTTCCACTACCAGTCTTTACAAACAAAACAAAAAAAAAAAGCCATATTCACCCCAATTCTGGACTTTAAATTATTTTTGTAAAATTCCGCATTGGGTCAAAAAGAATGACAATAGGGGATGCCGCTGTTGCACCAGTAGAGCAAAGTTCCTGGTTCAGATTTGCTCAGTTGCTGTGCACGTGCTGAGGGAGGGGAGGAATGTCCAAACATAATAGATACAAATCCTACACACAGCAATGACACCCACAGACACCATAAACTATATTTACAGAAACAGTCCTTTTGGTTGACTCTACCCAAAACTCTTCATTAAGGTGTGGGTCTGTGGGTCGGTTGCTGGAAAGGTGAATTGCCTGTAGGATTTTTATAGGACTTGAGGAGTCCGGCTAGGTGCGAGATCTCCAACACCAGAATCCACAGTTCCGTCCAATGGAAGAAGACATTATGAACGCAAATGAAGGCGTCACCCTTGCTCAGTGGATGGTCCATAATGTAGAACGTAGAAGTAAATGATAGGAGTAATGTAGAAGTAAATGATTGGAGAACTGTGAGGAGGGGGGTGAAGATTGAAGAAGTCAAGTGAACTTAAAAAAAAAAAACCAACAACAAAAAGGCCCAGTAATACAAAAAAAAGTAGCCTAATAATAATAATTTAAAAAAAGATAGCCCAGTAATAATAATAATAATAATAAGGATAGCCCAGTAATTAAAAAGAGAAAATAGCTCAGTAATATAGAAAAAAAAAATATTATTAGGCTATAATTTTTTTTCCCATTACAGAGCTCTTTTTTTTTTTTAATTACTGGGCTACCGCTACGTTATCGTTAATTACTGGGCTACCGTTAAACAATAATCATAACGATGATAATAAAAGATAGCTCAGTAATTTAAAAAAAATAGCTCGATAATTATGAAAAAAAAAAAGGAGAGTTTACAGGAACAACAGTCGGGTTCCGTGGAAGAAAGCTACATATAGTTCAATCTTTGCACTACTATTTCCCTACAGTGAGTGTTTTCTCACCTACCATATTCCTCGGTAATCACCTCTTTATTGACTTATTTGCTCCTCTGCTGATTATCCCCAATGAGCCTCTATTGCTCCCCAGTATGTATCTACCCCATCCCAAGCAGTTGAATATTGTGTATGATTTAATTGTGTGTTGGTTGTACGTGTATTTACGCTGTTTTGTTATTGTATTTAATAAACTGGTCTTCACGATAACTTAGTATTAAAGAAAAAGGAGAGAGAGCGAACGAGAGAGAGAGCGAACGAGAGAGAACGAGAACGAGAGCGAGAGAGAACGAGAGCGAGAGAGAAAGAACAAAGTGAGAGAACGAGCGAGCGAGAGAGAGAACACGAGTGAGAGAGAGAACACGAGCGAGAGAGAGAACACGAGCGAGAGAGAGAACACGAGAGAGAGAGAGAGAGAGAACGAGCGACAGAACGAGCGAGAGAAAGAACGAGCGAGAGAAAGAACGAGCGAGAGAGAGAACGAGCGAGAGAACACGAGCGAGAGAGAGAGAGAACACGAGCGAGAGAGAGAGAGAACGAGCGAGAGAGAGAGCGAGAGAGAGAACGAACGAGCGAGAGAGAGAACGAGCGAGAGAGAGAGAGAGAACGAGCGAGAGAGAGAGAGAGAACGAGCGAGAGAGAGAGAGAGAACGAGCGAGAGAGAGAGAGAGAACGAGCGAGAGAGAGAGAGAGAACGAGCGAGAGAGAGGGAACGAGCGAGAGAGAGGGAACGAGCGAGAGAGAGGGAACGAGCGAGAGAAAGAACGAGCGAGAGAAAGAACGAGCGAGAGAAAGAACGAGCGAGAGAAAGAACGAGCGAGAGAGAGTCATCAAATTGTTACAGTGAATGTGGCTTTTATTCTAAAAACTTAATTCAAAATCAAATGTTAAAATCAAACAAAATTTGGAAGCACATTGGTCAATGTCTGTGATGCTTTATGGAATGTTCCGGCCTGATTTTTTGTATGAACGTTGGTACATGTGACCAGTATTACATTTGGATCTACTGGGAACAAAGTAACCAGATTCTAGAAATAAATAAAATCCATATACATCGGAGCCTGTTGTCGTTTGTATTTCCTGGTCTATGGCGGCAGAAACAGACAGAAGTATCTAAATGGTAATTAATGAAGTGTAAGCATTCTACAGACTTCAGCAGAACCCCAGACTTCCCTTCGCACAGTCCGTGCATTATGCAGGAGGGTAAATCCGCACGGCGGAGCGCAGGAAGTCAATGCCAGCCGGCGTGTCATTACTGTGACAGTTCTGCAGATAGCGAGTGACAGGCCGCAAGTGCCCTGCTGCCATTATGTCTTCATGAGGGCCGCAGCCTTTTGCAGAATAAAGAATCCATCTGCATTCGTTGGCTGGGAGTGCAAGACGCATTTTACATGATTCCCTTGACCTTTTATAGTTTTATCCATGCGTGGCAAGTATTGAGAATCATCCGAGTGCGTCAAAGGCAAAAAAAAAAAAGAAGAAACACAACCAAAGTATGTTAAAGGCAGAGCGGAACCTTGTGCTGCTTCTCCCTTCCCCACTCTAAGCTTTGCTGTACGGAGCCTGCCAGAGGCCGTTACCAGGTCAGATTCAGGTGCTTGCATTTAAAAAAAACAAAAAAAAACCAAAAACAAATTATATATATATATAATTGAAACGACTGCATGCATTTTGGGCACATTATTGCGCCGAGCAGCAGGTGTCGCAGGAGTCCATGCGACGTAATTGGTAATTTGCAGCATTTTCTTACTTTTTTTTGCACCAAGTTCGCCCATAGTTTCCCTGTTGCAGTTTTTTCACTCTGCACCTCTGATAGTTTATCGGGCCCATTGTGCGCTGAGGTGTATATAACCACCTGGCTGCCAGGCTCTTACTCTGAAGGTGCCCATACACTGCGATTATCGCACGATAATCGCGGGAAATCCCACGATCGTACGATAATCGCAAAGTGTATGGAAGACGTGCAACCGTTTTTACTGTACGGTTGCAAGTCTTTTGTCTAGGGAGCACGATTCTCGGCTGGTTTGAACGGTGCTCGGGAGACAAATGCCCAACGGGCCGGTGTGCGCACACTGCCCGTTCAGCATTGAGGTCATCGGAAGCCCGCCCCTCAGGGGGGCGGGCTTGCGATGATCGAGAGTACGATCTGCCTGTCCAAGATGGGCAGATCGTACGTTTTTTTAAGTACTATATATATATAAAAAACACATTTAATGATGTATTAATTAATGCAGAAATTTGTGTATTTTATTGTTTTATATCTGCCAAGAGTTCAGCATTATGAAAATTGCACAGTGTGGTATGATGTCAAACATGCTGAAAAATGTAGATTTAGGGTTGACGTACACTTCGAGGATGATTTATAAAGCTTCCGCCAGCCTTATGCTGGGCAAGTGTTCTTCACACGGCACTCCCGCTACCAGATGAAGACGAGGAGCTTCGGCATTGCCTCAGCTCCATCTAGTGGCTCCTACGTTCCCCAGCTCCATCTAGTGTCTCCTACGCTCCTCAGCTTCATCTAGTGGCTCCTATGCGCCTCAGCTCCATCTGGTGGCTCCTACGCGCCTCAGCTCTATCTAGTGTCTCCTACGTTCCCCAGCTCCATCTAGTGTCTCCTACGTTCCCCAGCTCCATCTAGTGTCTCCTACGTTCCCCCGCTCCATCTAGTGTCTCCTACGTTCCCCAGCTCCATCTAGTGTCTCCTAATTAGTAAGGCGCTGGACTTGGGATTAAAAATAGAAGCACAATCACAAGAATACAAGCCCTCCCCAGCCCCTGCTGCCTGCTCTGTCTCCATGCAGCCTTCTCAGCCCCAGCACTGCTTAGACGCCCGCCTCCTGCAGAGCTCACATTGTATGGGAGGCAGGAGGACAGCAGCGGCTGTGAATAGAAAAGCCCTGCTGTACACACTCCCCGGCCACTAGATGTAGCGGCACTTTTATATTCACAGCCTCCGCTGTCCTCCCACTGACTGACACTGCTGCGCTAGGAGGAGGCTGAGGAGCCTCTCACCTAGCGCAGCAGAAGTGGATGCTGCGACCCACTTTTGGTTCGCTACCCACAGGTTGAGAATCGCTGATCTAGTGTCTCCTATGCTCCTCAGCTTCATCTAGTGGCTCCTCAGCTCCATCTAGTGGCTCCTATGCTCCATATAGTGGTAGTGATGCCTTGCGAACAGCATTAGTCCAGCGTATGGCTGGGCAGAAGCTCTATAAATCATCCCCTTAAAGTGCATTTTAAAAACGCAGGCTCAGTGTAATCACTGCAAATTTGTTTTTTCTTCTAGCTACCCCGAGATAAAAGATGAGCGCAGAAGAGACGCTGACATCAGACGAGCTGGAATGCAAGATATGTTACCAAAAGTTCAATGCCCACAGCCGCAAACCCAAGATCCTAAACTGCCTTCACCGTGTCTGTGCACGATGCCTATCCAAAATCCTTATCATGGGGGGCGGGGCACCAAGCATCAGCTGCCCTTTCTGCCGCAACGAGACCGAACTTCAGGAAGAAGAGGTTGCCGGTCTCCCGGACGACACCAACATCTTGTCCAAGCTCGCTGAGCGAACCATCTGCAACTCGGACAGCAACGAGGTGGTCTTAACCCCCAAGAACTTGGCGTCTTCTAGCCCTTCCCATGGCTCCTCCAACTGCCTAGTGATCACCATTATGGAGGTCCAAAGAGACTCCACGCGGACGCCCAGTCAGAACACCATCTCTGATTACTACACGGAGCACAGCATGGACTCGGCTTCCGTGAGCTCGCATGGCCAAATTGACCATGACCTTTTCTCCAAGCTGTGCAACCACGTCCCAAGGATACTGGTCTGGCTGCTGGGCTTCTTCTACTTTGGCTCTTTGCCCCTTGGGATATATTTGCTGGTGATTCAAAAAGTGACGCTCGGCATCGTCTGCGTCAGCCTGGTACCTTCCAGCCTGACCGTGTGCCTGGTCTATGGCTTCTGCCAGTGCCTGTGCCAAGGCATGTGCGACTGTTCAGCCAGGAGTTGACGAACGCTGACCCTACGTAGTCATTAGAAGGCAGACTGGCGTCGTGGAACATGATCCTGTTTTAGGGCACTTGTTTTTGTAATCAAATCTGTTGAAATCGGGAATTAAATGTCTGAAAACACAGTGAAAAATCCCACCCTGTCCTGGGAATACCGTTTACAGATTCACTCGTTCAAAAAGATTTACAAAAAGTTTGCACAGATACTGTGATATGCCTAAAGTATATGTAAACCCAACCACTAAAATATCTTATACGTTTTACCATTATCGTCATTCCAAAAAGTTATTTTCAATATTTTTACATCTGCAGCTTTCATTAAAATAATCCCTGGTGATCCTGCCATGCAGGTCTTTGTTCAGGCACTTCCTGTTAAAGGGTGACAACGCTCTGTGCTCTTGTGTTGTCACCCTGCCGCGTGGCCTTTCCGATGGCAGACTCCCCAAATATTCACAACCAATTGTTAAGAGAAAAAAGTAGAGATTTCATTTAGCCTATATTGTCCCGATTTTAAGGGTGGGGGAAGGGTGTGTGGGTTTTGTGCTTTGACAAGCCTCCTATGCTCCTCAGCGCAATCTAGCTGCTATATGAGCTGAGCAGAGTAGGAGAATCTAGATGGCGCTAAGAAGCAGAGGAGCCCCCTGCTCCTCAGCGCCATCTAGCGGCTCCATCTAGCGGCCCCCTAAGCTCCGCAGCTCCATCTAGCGACCCCTAGGCGCCATCTAGCGGCTCCTATGCTCCTCGGCTCCAGTCCGTGGAATCCAATCTCCCCTCCTATTCCAGTTCATGGAATCCTGCCTCCCCTCCTATTCCAGTCCGTGGAATCCTGCCTCCCCTCCTATTCCAGTCCGTGGAATCCTACCTCCCCTCCTATTCCAGTCCGTGGAATCCTACCTCCCCTCCTATTCCAGTCCGTGGAATCCAATCTCCCCTCCTATTCCAGTCCGTGGAATCCAATCTCCCCTCCTATTCCAGTCCGTGGAATCCTACCTCCCTTCCTATTCCAGTCCGTGGAATCCAATCTCCCCTCCTATTCCAGTCCGTGGAATCCAATCTCCCCTCCTATTCCAGTCCGTGGAATCCAATCTCCCCTCCTATTCCAGTCCGTGGAATCCAATCTCCCCTCCTATTCCAGTCCGTGGAATCCAATCTCCCCTCCTATTCCAGTCCGTGGAATCCTACCTCCCCTCCTATTCCAGTCCGTGGAATCCTGCCTCCCCTCCTATTCCAGTCCGTGGAATCCTACCTCCCCTCCTATTCCAGTCCGTGGAATCCTACCTCCCCTCCTATTCCAGGCCGTGGAATCCTACCCCCCCTCCTATTCCAGTCCGTGGAATCCAATCTCCCCTCCTATTCCAGTCCGTGGAATCCAATCTCCCCTCCTAAATCTAGTTCGTTGAATCCTACCTCACCTCCTAAATCTAGTTTGTTGAATCCTACCTCCCCTCCTATTCCAGTCTGCGGAACCCAATCTCCCCCCCAATTCCAGTCTGCGGAACCCAATCTCCCCTCCTAATCCAGTCTGAGGAATCCAATCTCCCCTCCTAATCCAGTCTGCGGAATCCAATCTCCCCTCCTATTCCAGTCTGCGCAATCCAATCTCCCCTCCTAATCCAGTCTGCGCAATCCAATCTCCCCCCCAATTCCAGTCTGTGCGGTCTGATCTCCCCTTCTAATCCAGTCTGTGTGATCTGATCCCCCCTCCTATTCCAGTCTGTGTAAACTGATCTCCTCCTCCCATTTTAGAGGGGGGCTGATATACAGTTGCATATCTGAAACAAAAAAAAACAAAAAAAAAAAAGGAGAAAGATGGAGACCTGCATATTTTTTTCTGTAAATCTGCTCTCTGCCCTCCGTAGATGTGATCTTCCGCAGACAAAGACCAGTAAATTCTAGACATAATGATCCATTAGAACAAAGTGCGCAGGGAAAGCTGGCCGCGCATCGCTGTAATCATCTTAAGAACCCTTGTGGGGACGAAAAGCGGCGGCCGCGTCCGCTGAATGGGGCCTTGAACGGCTTCATTGTGCGGCGTCGGCAGCTGCGATTCTGCAGGAAAACTAATTGCGATGCGTTGAATAGAAGGGCAGACGTTTACACTGACTCCGGGGTACTTCAGCGCTTATTGCGAAAGCCTCTTTTAGCCGTAGCTGATGAAAGGGAAGGCATTAAAGGTGCCCGAATAGTCTAATTTCAGAGAATAAAAGATTTTTTCTTTCTTTTATGATGAGCTCATTAGCGGTTTTATTACATGTAAGCTCTAAAAAAGAGCCAAATTAGTATTTCAACTTTTTTTTTTCCTCGTTTAGTGTTGAAGTTGAAAATCGGCGTAGAGTTTGATTTTTAAAGTAGGTTGCCAGTAGTAGAAGTAGTCCTGGTAATAAGGATTTATTCTGCTTTGACAGGATGGGATCATTATTTCTTTAGTGGTTCTTTTTAAAGGACTTGTTGCCTTTTTAAAGAGACAGTGTCACTTTTACCTTTGCAGAAACAGGGCCCTTGCAAAGGTTCCCCCATCCCCTTCAAACCCCCTAATACTCACCTTGCCTGCGCTCGCTACCTTGCCCCGCTTTCCTCCATCGTTACTGGCACTTAAATCACTGGTGCCATCACTCCCTTGGTCATGTGACAGTGCATAGCTCTAGCAATTGGCTGCTCAGCCAAAGAGCTGTTACAGAAGAGGAAGTCACATGCTCATCCCATAGCCAGAAACATAGGGCAGTCCAGTCTCTCAACCAGGGTGCCTTCAAAGTTTTGCACACCGTCATGCATGATGGAGGCGAGTCAGGCACCAGCACTGATCCAGGGCATCAGGACCTTCCCCAGCATTCAGAAGAGGGCAGAAGTTGGCCTCCATCCAGACCTGCTCTAGCTCCCATCCTCTGCCATGCTGCCACTGCCGAACGGTAGCGAAGATAAAGGGGGGCTCCTGATGGAAAGGAGGCAAGAATCCAATGCA